AAATCATTGTATCTGTTTGTGTCTCAGTTTCTCATTTACGAAGGGGAAACAATGATTCTTGTTTCTTTCCCATTTTGCATTTTCTTTCAGACTATAACTCTTTGGGAAAGAAATCACTATTTGTAACATGTATGTATAGTGGCCAAAACTACAGGGTTTGAGTCTGTGCTGGGATTATTCAATAATTATGTTGCAAACTACAATAAAATAAATTAATAGCATACTGCAGGGGCTGGATTGCTTACCAATGTCCATAGTAGATGAAGGTAACCACAATTCAAGCATATCTGCATTTCTGAATACAACTGATGACTGCAGGTGGTGTGTGTGTTTCAATAACTATTTTCAAGTAAATACTTAAAAAGGAAATTTTGGGGGAATTATTGTTCTCAAGTGGAAATCAGTGCAAATTATCATCATGCCATGTCTTTATTAAGGATGAACCTGGTTCTTGACTGCCTTGCTAATTCTCTGGTGAATTTCCACAAATACCAACTTCGTCTAAACAAACGATTAACTAACAGCTCTTTTGATTCAAAATGTCAGGTATGAAAAATAGATGGTCACTCCACATGCTCCATCCCCATCATTCAAATGAAAGGTATTTGATAGAAAAGCGTACCTGGTGTGCTGTTTTACAAGAGTATCCGAGGAGTCTCATAATGACAGTAAGAGAGAGAAATAGTGTAGGATAGTGGAAGAAAGTACAATAACAACAATGTTCAGTGTCAACCATACAAAAGGAAAGAGAACTGCTGCACAGCTCACTGATCATGAATTGCCAAGATGAGTATATTAACCTCCACTTGGACAGCAACATTGAAAGTTAGGACTTTGGACAATATCTAGAAGTGAAACCAACCCTGCACACAGAAGAGTCCAGGCAAGCCCTTGTACTCACAACTGTTTCATTTCAAGTCTGCAGAAGTACAGGAAAGTAATGCTGACTAAACGTCATGAAAGCCACTATTACAGGCTGATTCCTATTTGGCAAAGTTTTGGTCCTATCCTGATGATTAGAGATCAGTCCTTACATTAACATGATCTCCTCAACTGATGACTAGAATTAGTGTACATTAGTCTCTCACTAATCTGTTCATAGGAGTATAACACTCTCTAGAGTCTCTTCCAATCTGTATGGATTGGCTCCTTCAGCTGATAACATTAATACCCAAAAGAATATGCTCTACCTTCCACTCGCTTTTCATCTACAGATCTGTCACACAAACAATACAAACTACATGCCTTATAGGGCTAAATTATCTAACTATAGAAATAAATACAACAGCAGAACAGGAACTGAAGAATTAAACACCATTAAAATAGATAATTTTGCTAAGAAATTTGAAAAGGGATAAAGATTGAAAAGCCATTTATAAACTGCAGTGGTGTTCCAGACACTGGGAGCAGTGTGGCAAGAAAAATATAAGACCAACAGATGGATCAGAGAGGACACAAAAGACCAAAAATATTCATATAAGGGATTGGAGGAAGTTTAAGGGGAGCATCGTTTCCCTCCCTGATTTCCAAATTTTGAGCAGAAACTCAAACAAGCAGTGACTGTGTCCATAAAGCACAGCACGAAATATTTGTACTTCCTTAGGTGGATGAGAAACAGAGGGCAAGGAACATGTTATGGCAAGACTAAAAAACATCTTAATGTGTGAAAGGTCAACCATTAATTAATAATAACAATGTTACAGTTCAGGGAAGATGAGAAACCTTCAATGTCACATCTCAGATATCTGATCCTATGCAAATTTCTGAAGTAACTAATTCACAGATGCAGCTAAATAGGGGATAGAATTACAGCACATGCAAATCTTAAGAAAATAATACACAAAAGGGAAAATTATAATTGCTGTTGCTTCAACTAACAGCTCACTTCCACTGGACTTCCAAAATATCTGAATTTCTAGTTTACTCTCTCCTGCTCGTCATGGTTTTTCATTTTCTTATTTGAATTTCTGTCTTATTACTTGAAGAAATATAATAACCTAGGTTTGGAAAAAAAAAAAAAAAACAACCTCACACATTTATTAAGAATATATTATATAGATATCACAGAATACAGGAGAATGTACAAAATCAAGTGATAAGAGGAACCGATCCCACAGTATGCTATAGTAGCAATGTAATACTGTAAACATGACTGGACCATGAGTCTCCCTGAGTCAACATGTGATTCAAATCTTTATTTGTCCTTTTACAAATGAAATGCAGCTGGGGAAAAGTGTAACACAAGACTGATGCAGAGAAGATCTTACAAGAGGAGGGCTAATATTTACTGCTAGCTCACTCTTTCAAAAGCTCTAGGTTTGTGTGAGTTTGGAAAGTCAGTCCTCTACCATAAAATGTGGTATTTCCAACTGTGGTGTGGTTAATAGTTACACCTCAGAGGGTTGTATTTTATCTTTACTTGAATCTTACAGCAATTTTGATGATGTCATCCAAACAAATCCAGTTTGCAGGAAGAGGTGGTATTCTATAAAACAGCAAAACCGGACTTTTTTAAGGTCAGTGTATCAGCTGCTTAGTTGATTTAAGCAACTAGAATACTCTGGTGCCCAAAGGGGGAAAAAAATGTTGGTAACAGAATGAATGTAGTACCACGCTTCAGGGTGCTTCATGCACCCTATCAACTTTACCAAAGAACTAAGCTTGTGAAAAGTAGTAAGTACACCTTATTTCATGCATCGCTTGCAATAACTCTTTTCTGTAGTTACATCTCTGTATTTCTGCTGCACTAAAAATATCTCCATGGGAGATAAGAGAGGTGCTAGAACAACCAGATGGCACTTGATTATATTTATAACATTCACGTCTGGTGATCAACTGTATGAAACACGATAAAAGATTAAGAAATGCTTGCGCTACAGTGTATTCCTCACTTTAGTGAGAAATAAAGGTTTAAAACTATTTTTTTTGAGGTTATATAGTAATCTCAACTAACATTTTAAGACAGTAAGCTGGACAATGCTAGAAGTTGTCTGTGATACGCATAATGTTGGCCTTATGTAAACTAGAAATGAGCTAGTTTTAAGTCCCTGATTCTATGTATCTTCACACACAAACATAACTGTTGGCATAAAAATAATTCCATGATCATAAAAGTGGAGTGTTTTCCAGAATCAAGGCTTATTCAGGACTATTTGCCCTCTTACCTTACTCTGGTGCAACTAAGAAAAATAGTACTTTTAAATTTACCAACCAAAGTCTCCCTTTGTGTCTTGGTTCTGCTCCTGCAACAGTTAATGTACTTCCTTCACATGCTGTGAGATTTTCTTTTTTCACCCTCCTCTGGGAGATTTGCACATATAAATCCCATTAAAAGACACGATGAGTTCCTGAGGTTCACTTATGAAGGAGAAACTACCAAAAACCAATGCCAGACCTGGCTGAAGGGATCCCAGATCCTCATCAACTGCAGCGGCTTTTTGTCATTATTAGCACTGCTTCCCTTTACAGAGGCAATAAGTAACTTCGTTAACATTTTTTTCTCTCAAAACCAGCAATACTTGGAATTAATTTGACTAATTGGATAATACCTGTAATGCAAGTATTTACACCTGAGCCAGTTATTCTTTCATAGTCAAGGGAACTCATGAGCAAATGATTACTCTCATCAGAAACTAAAATAAATAAAGCGTATCCTAAAATGTAGCTTTTTCTATTTGCTCTAAAAAGAGTTTTAGATGACCAACACAACTTCACAGTATCTACAGTGTAACATCTAAAGGTAAATGAGATACCTAACATAGGTTTCCTGTATGCCAAACTTCCAGCTGCTTAAGTGTGTTATATCTTTTTCTGCAAGATTGAGGACCCCATTAAGAGATTTGTTTTGCATTAAAATATTTGCTCACTGTTACTGTGTTTAAACACAAAGACTATTCTATTAGGTTTTCTGCAGTTCTGGAAAGCAATCATGTATTTCTTGCCATAAACCCATTCTAGTTTGTCAGCATGTTGTCTACACTATGTACACCATGCTTTGGTGCAACCTGCTGTTAGTGGTCACACCAGTAGCAAATAAGGAAATTATACAACCTCCCAAATCTTACTTGAAATTTCTCAGGTTATGCAGGTGTTAATTAAACTATCTCTTCTGACTTCTTCAGTGCTCTGGGAGTGCATGCTTAGCTTCTCAACTCTTGGAGGATCCAACTCTTTTTCAGAGCTGTTGTCTTGCAGGAAAGTCCCTGTTGCCGTAATCATCTTGCATTTTCACTCCCAGATGTGTGGCTTCCAATTAAGTGGTTCAGCTATGCCCCACAAAAACGCTGACACCGACATGAGCGCTTCAGACCTCTGTAAGGTTCAGCAAATGATGCCCCATCACTGTCCTCATTTCCACTCCCATCCTCCCTCTTCATTTTCTACAGCTCCTTCCAGTCCACTTTTCTTCAACCTTTTCCGTGGGCACCACCAACTCAACCTCATCTCCTCCGCTCCTTCTTTCATTCCCTAAACTGCTGCTCTCTTCACATGCAAGAGAGGAAAGTTAACACTTTGCCATTTAAGTGGGATAATTTTTCACCTTATCTTGCTGGTCACCCACTCCTCTTTTAACTTCCAATCTATCCAACAGATTGTTTTCAAAAGCCACCTGTGAACTTTCCCCCTCATTCCAAGCCCTGAAATCAGCTTAAAATCCACCTCAGAAGAGCTCTCACCAAATCCCAAATGAGTTTTCACTACCTCGATAACGACTGCCTATTTACGGCCTTTTATTATTTCCTTGGTGCTCCTCGTAGGACACCTGCGGTCCCCAGCAGGCTGGGGCTGAGGAGAAGAGCTTGGGGTTTTGGTCGAGGCGCTGAGAGGAGCCCCTGGGGGGCCCACAACCGGGGGAGGCTCTCCTGCCGCTTATCCCCTCAGGCTTCACTTCCCGGTGCGGCCGGAGAAGGAGGAGGAAAGGCGGCCCGGCCGCGACCGGCACCAGGAAGCCGCGGGCCTGGCAGCCACCGCCCTCCCGCCTCGGGGTGTGGGCGGGCGGCGGCGGCTCCGCCCCGCTGCGGGGGCCGCCCGCGCCGGCAGAGGCGGCTCCGTTCGCCGCTGTGACGCCGGCGGCGCTGGAACACCTGGAGGGGCGGCGGCGGCGGCGGCTTCGGCTCGGCCCTCCCCTCCCCTCCGCCGCGGGCAAGGTGAGTGCAGGAAGGGGGGGGGGGGACACGACTCGCGGGGATCCGTGCCGGATGGTGGCGGGGAAAACGGGTTCTGCCAGCGGCTGCTGCGGCCGGTGTCGGGCAGCCCCGGGTGGCGGCCGCCTCCCCCGCGGGCTGCCCGCCTCCTGGGGGGGAAGGAGGCGGTGTGGCGGCCGGGCCCGAGGCGCTGGTGCCCATCGGGTCTTGCTGGCGGGCGTAGCCGGGGCCGGACCTGTCCAGGGGTGGAATTTCCGAGGCACAAGATGGCATCTGCCCCTCCTTTTTGCCTTGTGTTTCCCCCTCCCGCTGTGCGGTTATCTCGCCATGATTATTACATTTCTCCGTTTCTGCCTCCCTTCCTCCCGTACGTTCTCTCTGGCTCCCTGCCCGCTGGGAGCGGGGAGGTTGGGGAGGAAAACGGCCGCTTCTTCTCGTCAGTCTCCGGCTCGGCTGTCAGGCTCCGGGCTGCGGCGCAGGTTGCGCGGCTGCGGTGTGAGCCGCTCTCCGCCGGCGGCAGCGGCCCTCGCTTTACCGGGGGACGTGGGGCCGGCTGGGGTGGCGGGGCTTCCCGTGGCAAGGTAATGCCAGTTACCAAACCAGGCGCCAGGGCGTTAACGGCTGGTGAAATTGGAATTAAAAACCCCCAGACTTCTGATTTAAGGCTTCTATTTCATGAAAGGTTGATCTTGAGAGTCAGATTTATTCTGCACCCATACACTTGGCACATGGATAATGTTTATCTGCTGTAGTCGTTTAGAAGAAGAAATAAAATGGAAAATCGCTTGAAACATCAGGTCAGTCTTCAGTAAGAGAAAAGGGTGAAGGGCACCGTGCTCTTTTATTTGTCAGTATCGTGTGTATGTTCAGCGCCCAATGTAAATAAGCCTCCTGTTCTGTGCAGTTTTGTGTAGTGCTGAGAGCTTCAAGGTCCTGCATGGGCCCTCTTAAAACAGTAGTTCAGGTTTGCCTTAGTTCAGATGTGTAAATGTGAAAATTAATTGGGTAGTCTCAAGGGTATGTCCTTTAACCCCCTACCCCCCAAGTTACATTTTGTAGATATTTTGGAAGCATGGCGTTAGAGTTGTTCTTCTGTTTGGTTAGTTGTAATATTTTGCCCCTGCCTTACTTTATACCAAGGTGACTTTCTATTTCTAGCAGCACCTGTTTGTTGGGGGTTTTTTCCACCCATGTTTCATTCTGTTATCCTCTTATTTTCAGTTTCTGAATGGATTTTATTTAACATAAAACCAGAAAGCACCTGTGGCTCCTGTTCCAAAGCAGACTTTTTGGAAATAAACTGTTCTTGTGTTTTGCTCTAGCAAGGCTATTGCTGTAAGGAAAAAACTGTTTGATCACTTTTCCAAAGTGTTGGGCAGAGAAAATGGCAGGCTGGGTTTTGGAGCTTGCAGTGCAGGCTGCATTTGGTTATGGTCTTTCGTCTGATTTTTCTGGTAATCCACCTCTTTTTCCACTTTGTTTATCCAGGGTTCCAGAGGAGTGAAAGTAGCACTTGACAGTGCTATCTGCCTGGCACTGATCTAGGATTTGCAGTTCTTAGCATGAAATCCAGCGGCATCTCAATTAGCAATTTTTTATACTGCTGTTTGGTAGGGTAGCAGTTTAAACTGAGTAACTTAATGATTTAAGATTTATGTTAGTAGCGCTGAAGAAGGAATTTAGCATAAAGCCACAGAGATCTTTTGAGTAGTAAACTGCCATAACTGGTATAACCAGTCACGTTTTTCCCATGGCAAGCTCTACTGGAAGATGATGTGGCAGTTAAATGCAGCCAAACCTCGGTCTGAGTGAGTTTCTGAAGTTTTTTTTACTGTCAAAACTTCACGGGTGAAACATTATTTCCAGAAAGGTTCAGACAGTGTATTCAAGAGTTAGATGCTGGTAACTGGAATTTGCCACCGCCTTCAGTGAGAAAGAATTAAGTGCTTTTTAGATAATTTCTTCCATTGTGTCTGTGGGAGCTGAGATTCAAATATGCACGTTACTGAAGGTTTGTGGGTCCAAGAAAACCAGTTATGACTGTATGAAAGGTGGAAGGTTTCTTTAACATTTTTTCTCTCACAAGATTATATTATTGGGGTGTGGAGGGAGTCACATGGTGGAAAGTAAAATTCCTGTTGAACCCTAGTACAGTGTTGGTTTTATTCTCCCCCTTAGAGCTTCAAACCCACCCATCTTGCCTGTTTTCTGTTATCAATACTCTGCAGGGCTGCTAAATTGTTCTGATGAATTCCCAAGTAACCTGTTCTGGAAGAAATGAATAATAACAGCTCTTTTCACTCTTCAACTAGTGTTGAAAGCTGTTGGTACGTGTTGGCAGAAAAAAAAATGTGCTAATATCTCAGCTAAACTTGAAGTCAAGAAATGTCCTCAAAGACTCTTAATACATTTTTCAAAATCTCCTCCAACCGTGTTGCTCTGAAGTAGTTGATTCTTCAAGATATTTTGCCACTTCTCAACCGTAAAATCGCTCTAAAGATGAAATTTTATCCCATGATGCAGAAGCATTAAAAATACAAAAGCCTGGAGAGTGAAGAGTGTTAAATAAAGGACCAAGCAGTCAAGAACAGTAGAAACATTTGACCTTTTACGTGTTGCTAGTAATAATAGTCTCCTGGTGTTTTTTCCTGTGGCTATTGTTAGCCATGGCAAACGAAGGGGCATTTTGACCGGTTAGGCAATCGCTTACGTCAACATTGGGAACTGTCTGTTCTGAGTCACTGAAACAGTGTTCAGGTCCATCTTGCAAGTAGCATCATAGGGATCACCACTGCTCTAGCAGCAGTCAGCTGGTCTGCTAGCATCTGAGAATAGTAATATGAAAGTTGAGTGGACTATGGATTGATCAAGATTATACAGTCTGCATGGGTCGTCGTGTTTACTCAAAGGGCAGTGAAAGGCGATCACCCTGTATTGTTGTTGCTGTGCATGCCAAAACTGTTTTGTTAATCAAATTTCTTATCCATGGATGTGAAATGATCTCCTGAGGGCATCTAGAGAAAATTATTTTCCCCTCTTCCCTCCTCTGGCATTGTTTCCCCTCAGGTATATAGCATTGCTTCCTGGCTTCTGCATGGATGAAAAGGGTGGAGGGAAGCAGAAACTTGAGAGAGTTGTCTATGTCAGCAAATACGTTAAATAAATAAGATCCATCAGTTTGGACTTCTAAAACCATATTTGTTCATACTTAACACAGTACAACATATGAAAAGAATTTCATTATTTTTGTGTACATCCACTGCTTTTCTCATAGGTTCTACAAAGGGAAGGTTTCCTAAGGTTAAGACTGTAGACTGATTATGGGTAGAATGTGTCACAAAAAACATCTTCGTATTGTCTTTTATAATCTATGCACAGCAGGTGTTCCATATGGCATTTTCTTTAATAGTATTCAGCTACTAAGTTTAAAAATACTGTTTTTTAAACTAAGAGAACAAATGTGTATTACAAAACAATTTGATAGCCATTTCAGAGAAATGAAGCAAGTCTGCATTGAGAATGAGATTAACTGGATTGCATATATCCCTAGTTTTGCTCATTTGCACAGTGAGGTTAGACCTGCCGCTTGAAGACTTATATTCAAATTATTCTTCCATAAAACATACATAATACTTATGATACTTACCTGGTTCTTTCCTAAGGACATTTGCTTAGTGTTCTTCACAAATATAAGGGGAACACTAGTCAAGTAAAAGATGTTACAGGAGGGTCAACTGATACTATGTGTGTTCCTATATTATTTCACAATAAGCAGCTAAAAAATCAGTATAATCTGAAAAAGGAAGTTAAAATTATTTTATGTATAGTTAAATATCTGTGTCTTCATGTAAATGCTGAAGTTCTGCATGCAAGATAACTTATCTAGAAAGGCTTATTGTTTACTCATCAATCTTCCAACTGTGAGTCTACTGGCATTTATTTGAAATAGTTTGTTCAGAGACTCCATGTACTATGTCATGACCACATGTACTATTCTTATCAGTGTTTTTGAGATAAATTACTGGTTTTAGGAATGTGTCATTGAACTATTTAAAAAACAACAACAAAAAAGGTAGCTCCAAGTGTCATGTCAATACATGTTATTTTCTAGAAAGGAGGAGATCACTTATGCCTGTAAGTTTGACTTGATAGTCTTTGGAGTATGACAGGCATATAGTACTGAATAGACACAAAGTTGTTTTTTAGAGAAGAATACTAATGGTTGACTTGGTCCTTGCACTTTGTGGGAGCAAAATCAGTTTTTAAAAAGCATGGTGATAGAGTGCCAAATTTCTACTTTTTCGTGCTGGCTAAAACTTACCTCTGACTGCTCGAGTACTGAAAACCAGTGCAGTTCAGATGGATTGATACTCTTAAATTCTAGGTACGAGTGAGCGATAAATTTCCAATGTGCAAAATTGCTCTGTTTATCTGCCACTGTCTTCTGTTAACTTGTATGTATCAGAGTTGGGAAGAGAAAAATAAGACTAAATGATAGCATAAGAAACAGGGCTCTGGATATCCTCTGTTTAGACTATACCAGGAAATTAAGCAGAAAAATTTCCTATGTTAATTGTGTATTCTGAAAAATTAGAGGCTTTGGTAGTAGTTTATTGGAATAAAGTACTTAACAGTACTTTCTGCAGTAGCTATTGGTCATCTGCCCAGCATATAGAGTGTTGTCAGTGTAAAAGTCAGCAAAAGACAGGCCATTATGTACTTAATGTCAGCAGTACTACTACTCATTTTGTTGGATGTACTATTTGTAGACAGGTGCCTAGGTAGTGGTACAAAATGACAGAAAGAAGACCCAAAACATCCAGATTTCTCCATACCTTGTGCATGGTTTCTAATGGTCCAAGTCCTTAATCACACTGTCTTAGTCTTTTAAAATACCTGCTTGTATTACTGTGGTTTGTTCTCCACGCAATTTACTAGCCTGAAAAAGGAAAGTGCGTGTTATATTGGCTCAAACTACCTCCTCGGAAAAGAGATTCCAATTT